GATTTCAGATCCCACAGCTTCCTGTAAAGTCCATAAAACTCTATCATATTGCTTGCATCATCAATGTTAAGGTGAATTGTTCTGACTCTCAACAAATTTCTCTTTGAGTATTCTACTTAACCCCAAATGACAACAGCCGTTAAGGAGCTTGTAATCTTGTTGTGTTATTGAGTAATCTTGTTGTGTCATTGAGACAGGCTCTCTTATGGCTGAGGCTGGTTTTGAACTCTAGATTCTCCTGCCTGCATTTCTCAAGTGATGAGATCACAGGCATGTACAACTGGACCCAGCTTAAACTTGCAGCCTTGACAAGTAGCAAATATGTCCCAGCTCTAGTTAAACCCTGGGCTGGCTTCTCTGACAGTTGCCCCACCCCCACCCGGGGTTTAGATAGCTTCAACTTGACTCTTAGTTCATGAAATGCCCCTAATTTACACACATTAATTTAAGGAAACTCTAATCAGGAAAGCAACTGCAAAGCTCATAAGACATAGTAGATAATTCACATATAGAGAGCACTAAATACACACCAGACACATTGCAAAGTATATCGACTTTTTCATTTAAATCCCGGGGGCAGCTATGTAAGATTGATACTAGCATCATATATTTTCATGCCAAAAAATTCTCCATGTACAATTAAGATTTGTATTTAACTACCTCAGCATTAAAAATGACATAGTAAAAAGCAGAAATTGTTAAGGAGATAATAAACTATCATATAGTACGAGTAAGAGGAATTATTCATGCCTAAATATTCCAGTAGAGTTCAGAAATGTTTTTGTTTTGTTTTGTTTTGTTTTGTTTTGTTTTGTTTTGTTTTGTTTTGTTTTGTTTTGTTTTACCAGTGGCCTGTGAGCATCATGAGGGTGGGTAGCAGATATTCTGCAAATATTAGACAAAACCCAGAATTTTTGGAAGCAAAGCATCTGGGCAAATGCTTCAAAATATCTGGAACTGTACCATCAGACTTGCATCAAAACCCTCAAAGTTCTGAATCTTAAAATACTGGCATTATAGGCTGAAGCAATGGCTTAGTGCTTAGAAGCACTTGCTGCTCTTTCAGAGGGCCTGGGTTTGGTTTCTAGAACCCACACAGTCACCCAAAACTGTACATAACAGTACATGATTCCCAGTTTCAGGGACTTTAATGCCTTCTTCTGGCCTGTACAGCACCAGTACACACGGTGCATATACATAACTGCAGGCAAAGCACACTAAGAAAATAAAAACACATCTTTAAAAAAATTATCATTCTGTTTTTGTTGACAGTGTATCTAAATCAGTTGACTGATAACAGCAACAACAACAAAAAATTTCTCTCTCTATCCTTTCCTGAAGATTTGGGTCCTAACAGGTACTTTATTATTTTGTTAGGGCAATCTTGTCAAGAATGGCATGAGTTACTTATATTAAAACACAAACTGCCTGGCAAGATGTAACAGTGGCACATGGCTATAATTCCAGCACTCAGGAGGCTGAGGAAGGAGGGCAGCCTTAAATTTGAAGCTAGCCTGGGCTGTTTTTCATTTAATGTGGGAGTTCCTTAGAGTTTCTTACTGAAGTTTCAATTGAGAATTTTTTTCTAGTCCCTGTTTTTTATTTCTAATACAATATTATTTTGACAACATAGTTTATACATCATCTAAATTCTTCTGAATTTAATTCAATTTGTTTTATACCTTAGAATATGATTTACAGTTGTAACAATTTCCATTAGTACACAAGATAATATTTTATGTAGTAAGTGCTTTCTGCTCTGAAACAAGTCTTGGTTATTGTACAATATCTGTGTGATTCTGCCTTCCTCCCTGCCCCTCATTTACTTATACAGCGAAAGCTTCACTTGTATAGCACACACCTCAGTAAATGGCTTCCAAGTATCTCCCACTTCACTTAGCTTACGGTGAACTCTACATTGAAAACAAATACTTGCCAGAGAGACAGGGTCAGTGAGATGGCTCGGTTTGCTAATGTGCTTAGGCTTACACAACACTAAGGACTTAAGTTTGATCCCCAAAACCTACTTAAAGGTGAAAGGAAAGAACTGGCCCCAGAAAGTTGTCTTCTGATCTCTCTTTACACAGACAGATGGCAGGCAGGTAGGCAAGCAGATAGACAGGCAGGCACGCACGCACGCACGCACACAGTCAGGCACACAGGCAGACACATATACTCACACCATACACATATGTATATAGATTAATAATAATAAATTGAACACCTCAATAATAAAAAATATATGAACATACATGTGACAGTTCATTAGCTGTCACAAGTGAAAGTATCTCACATGTAAGGGATGGATGTCTGTCAGAATTGGTTCACTCCTTGTGTGGTGCTCATCAGGAAAGTATCCTTTATTCTCTACTCCCTGCATTTCTCTAGGAGAGCTGTAAAAGGGGAAAATGGAACCTTGATTATGCTATTGGAATAGACAGGTGATTACAATTAAACCACACATGATACATTTAAGGATGTGTAGCTTGTAACTTGTAACAATTCAATTACAATAGCTCTGAGAGAAACCAACATTTGTATTGTATGAAAGAGCTGAATAGATTTCAATATGTAAAGAAGTCTGAGAACCATGGAAATAAGTATTTGGACACAAACAGGCATGTAAAAGTTTGATTTAGTATTCTTATCTGGTCTTCAGTACTAGACTCAGACCACCCCACATTGATATGTTATGTGTCCACAAAACTGGTATGTACTTAGTAATGACCTCCTTTGATGCAGAATATGTAGACATACTTTTGAATTTGCTTTATCTTGATGCATTTCTGGTAACGAACTAATAATACGACAAGTCCAACACCAATAATAACCATGACAAGCACAACGACCATGATAGAGACACCTACAACATAAAAACAACACATTTTCAGCTGGACTTCAGGACAGTAAAACTTACAAACTCACTTCTTCCTGAAAAGACTTTAACTCCCTGTCTTCCCATATGACACAAATTATCATCTCTATTAACAATTAACAATCCACTCCAAGATTCCTGAGTGCTTAAGGAAAGCCATAGTCAGCAAGAAAACTTTGACTTGTTAGCTATGAATCACCTAAAGAAAAGGCATTGTGTTTGGGGTTTCAGAAGTCATAAGTGACAGTTGGCTAGAAGATGCATTAATTCTAAAAGGTCAGTGTAGTAAATTTAGTTTGGGTCTCCAAACATGCAAAAGAATAAGACAGGACCATTAACACCTGTGGAGAAACACAACAAATACATGGCAGATGAGACACAGCTTTCTTGGTGGGAGACTCCAAACACATGTGAGAATTATATTCCTTACTGGTAAGGTTTAAGGTTTCTCCCCAGTCAGCAATTATTGGTCCATCCTCACACTGGCACTCATGTTCGTGGTCATCCACCTGGAAGAGCAGTCAATCATGTATTATTGTTATGGAATGGCTGAGAAAAGCTTTGTTTTGCAGCTCATTTACATTAATGGTAGTTTTGCATCAGACCCACACATACATATATACATATCTATAGATATTTAGTACTTGAAAGGATATCTGATATATATCTTAATAAATTTTAAGCAATAACTGGGTGTAGGGATGATGTTCCACCCAGATATAAACCAACAGCATTGAGCAGTGTTGAGCTGAAAACAAATTTAGAATTTGTGTGTTTTTGCAAAAGCTTTGAGCTGATGTTGATACTGCTGTAATTTAACTCTAAGTGATATTAGGAAAAATAAAAATTTAAACTTCATGTTTAAGCTTTATGTATATATATATATATATATATGTACATAAATAGGTTTCTAAATTATCAATATAGATAATAAATTATTTGCCTGTAACATTGGCAGTGTCTATGTTTAATAATATCTGGGTTGGCTCTTTGTACTGATTTTATTGATTATACATAAAATGTAAATAAAATATATAGCTCTTTAAAAGAATAGGTATAACTCTAACACAGGCTCAAGAGTGAAGACTAAGGTAAGAAAAACAGGTTGCTATGACACTACTTTAAGAGGCAACGAAATCTTACAGCATTGTCATCACACTGGGAGGGGCAGCTGGTTGAATTGTAGGCCTTTTCCATTGGAACACATTCGCCATTGCTACAAACCTAGAGAGGAAGTAACCGGCATGAATTAGAGTGATGCAACACGTGATTTGACAGAATGACAAACGGAATTATACATCCCCTCTTATGTGGCTTAATTGCATGTTGGAAGCAGCACTAGGCAGCTTGCTTCTGCATCTACGGCACCCATGTCAATCTCCCCGTGGGGATCATAAGCTCAAATAAGTTATAATACTGAGAAATGTCTTGCTTTGATTTTGCCATCTTGGGGTGTTTAGTCAAAGATAAGTGCAAAGACAGTTTCACAATTCCCCTATGCCAATGGATAGAACAACACCCCTCCTCCCCACCCCGATCTCCTTTCCTATTCTTTTATTCTTCCAGTCTTCCACAGTTCCTCTCTTCCCTCCTCTTCTCTTGTGCCTCATTTTCTTTTCCTGTTAGTGCTGTACTCTCACCAAGCAGATGGGAACCAAGGAGCCCTGTGTTGTGTTTATGTAGGAATTTCTTTCTTCAAAAGACTTTTCTGTACTCTCATGTTTTTAAAGAGTTAATTCACACTAATGAAGATAGTGACTCAACCTGAGTATCCACCAATAGATGATGGACAAAAAGTGTGCCAGACATACAATGGAGTATAACTCAGCTGCAAAATGAATAACAGTGCGGCATTTGTGGCATCTTGAGTAAGTGTGGGAGGCAGATTATGTGAGACAAGCCAGACACAGGTTGGGAATTTCACATGTGAGACAGATTGGGAATTCTCAATCACACACAAAAGGTACAAACATTGATGTTAAGGAAGCAGAGAACTGGATTGTGGCTTCCAAAGGCTGGTGGGGTGGCCAGAAGGGAAAAGGGGATTCCAGTTAATAGGTTTAAATTTTCAATTAACCAGGAAAAATAATTTCTAGTGGTTCACATAGCAGAGTGATTGTAATTAATAATACTTTCATGTATATTTTAACATAATCAGAAAAAAGGAATTTGGATGTTCTCAACATAAAGAAATGGTCAGCTATTAAAGTAGTGTCTATCCTAATTTACTCAAATTTGGTTATTACTCATTCTACATATGTACTAAAACATTATACTGTACCCAAGAAATATAATAATTAACTATGGGTCATAATAATTGCTAAAATCCAGACTATATAGTAAAAAGCATTTCCTATTTTCTCTCTGTAAAAAAAAAAAAAGAGTGTAGCAAATCAAGCTGAAACCTGAGTAGTCACAATATCCTGCAGGTAACCAGCGCTCTTCCTTTGGATCAAGTATGCACTGGTTTCCACAACACCAGGATAGCATTTCCATGGCCATGCTCTGTGTAGGACATTCTCAAGTACACTGGTCTGTAGGCCTTGGGAATCCAGCCCAATTACCAAAAGCCTAATACTTAGCCAGTAAATATGACTGAATGAATAAAATAAATGAAGAGAGCTTGCTGACATCAGTAACATTAATTGGAATAAAAGTCATGTACGATTTCATTAAGTGCCTATTTTAAGATACCAATTAAACATATTTATAACAATTACATATAATTTAGTATAACTACAATTAAGCAAGAATAACATTACCATATTATTGCTACCATCTCCCTCAATAATTTACAGGGAAAGTGGCCATTTTTTCCCGTTTCCCCATCTAGAAGCCCCTAGATGGGAAGCCAATCCCAGTACCTCATCATGTTTGGGAGCATCTGTTCTCTTACCATTCCCTCTCCACATTTTGTTCCAGAATTAACCAGACCAATGTCTCTAGAATTGTGGTATAAAAACATGGTTTTGCATTTCATGGTCACGTTCTGCTTCTGATTCTTAAGGTTATATGTTTTATCCTCTCCCAGGAGTGATGAACGCTGACCTCCAGTACAGAATATCTTTCCACATTTGAGATCTCTGAAGGAAAAAGCAGAATGTTCTCAGACTTAAGACCAGGAGCCAAAGCAAAGTGTCAGAGATGAGACAATCAGCCCAGCTGCTTTCCTCTAAACCTCATTTGTCGGCAGATTCAGGGGTCATGGTAGGCTGAGAACGCTCTCAGACCTTTAGAGCCCCAACTGTAAGAACTGACATAAATAGATAAGTATGTGAAATAATCACTGAAAGATTTCTCAGTTCTCAAAACTCAATATTCATTAAAGCTCACAAAGAATATTTATTAGTAATTTGGATTAGCATAACTTTGATGGGAACACTAAGAACTGTTTTTCCTCTCTTGATATTAACTAATTCTAGCAAGCTGGGGGTGTCTAGCAAGAGGGTGTGGGTGGGGGGTGGAGGGAGGTGGAGGGGGGGTGCTGCTGCTCTTGTAGCACCCACCATAAAGTGAGACAGCCACTGAACGTAAGTAATGGAGAGGGAAGTAAAGGGCACTCTGTTTTCACACAGCATATGCGGAAACGAAGGTGAACTTGACTGGAGGATTTTGTGACTGTTCCTTTCACTCCAATCCCTATGTTGTCACATGTGAAAGGCCACGCAGACCTGGAAGGGAGCTTAACTCATGTAGATCAGTCTCACTTCCAACTTCTTTAGAAGCCTTCACTGCTTTCCCTCACCCTTTCATTTTTCCCCTTTGAAACATATTTTCCACTGCCCTGGTTCTGTAGCATTCTCTTCCTCCCTGTTTTCCACCCATCTTACCCCTCTTCATTCTTTCTATTCCAGGACCCCAGCTAATAAACACAGAGGGAAAATTCAGTCAATGAAGCCAGGGGTGTGTGCTCACCACTCTCCCTCCTCCTAATTCTCAGCGAAATCAGATTAACAGTTACCAGAATAGAAGCCCTCATGAATTCTCAATACACTTTCATAGAGATCTGTTTCCACTGGGCACTTACCTCTCTTCACAGGCAACAAATGTGTTTCCCTTTTTTGTGCAATATCCAAATCTGTTTCCTTTTTTATTCATCTTGTAGCAAAGACTGTGACTCTCTTGTGCTCCTGGGGTTCAAAATTTCATGATAAAAAAAAACATGAATACTGAGAATCATAAAGTACTTCATTTCCTAATACAGTTACGCTTGCCAACTCATACCGCAGACTGGTGCGGTAAAAAAGAGTCAAAAATCATTGAGAAATACTCTATTGAGTCAGGAAAGGTTTTTAAGTAGGAATAGAGATATGTAAGAGGCACAGATGCATGCTAGCTCTTATACAGAGTCAATTAATTATATTGTAAGTAAAATCATTAATAGGGGTTGCAGACAAAGATGCTAGATGAGACCTTGAATGTACATCACCAATTATATTATCTCCAATTAAATCCCAAATTCATCCCCATGACTCTCACCATCATTGAACAGCTTTGAACATTGATCATCCAGAGTGGGACACTGCCCCATAAAGCAGTAACCTTCTCCATTCTTGCAAGGAAACCCATTGGCCCGGAACTTGTCCTTAGGACACTCAGGGGAGTGGCCAGTACACAGCTCAGAAAAATCACATTCATTTTTCGCTACTCTGCATATGGTCCCTTCTTTCTTAATCTGTTGAATAGAAACAAATATTGGAATCTTTGATGTGTGAGTTGGTGAAACTGAGTACATAGGCAGAAAGCTGACTTAATTTACCTGTGAGAGACAGGCTCACAGCTTCCTTCTTCTTGATGCTAAGTATTATTATCATTTGTAGATACCATGGTATTTATGTGACTTTAAGAATAAGAAGATAGTGAGGTTTTTTTTTTTTTTTTGCTTTTTCGAGACAGGGTTTCTCTGCATAGCTTTGCGCCTTTCCTGGAGCTCACTTGGTAGCCCAGGCTGGCCTCAAACTCACAGAGATCCACCTGGCTCTGCCTCCCGAGTGCTGGGATTAAAGGCGTGCACCACCACCGCCCGGCAAGTGAGGTATTTTTTTAAAGCTTTGTTTATTTTATATGTATGAATGTTTTGCCTGCATACATTCATGCCTGGTGCCCACAGAGGCCAGAAGAGAGCACCAGACCCCTGGAGCTAGAGTTATATCTGCCTTGTGGGTACTGGGAACCTAACCTGCATCCTCTGAAAGAGCAGCCAGTGCTTTTAACTCATGAGCCTATTCTCCAGACCAAAACTGTGTTTTTGAAATTTGGAATTACAAAAGTCTTAGGTAGAGTTGACATGGGCAAAAGTGGTAAAATGGGCAGATCTTTTCATTTACCTTGTATTTTCTTTGTTCTTTGCTCTAATATATCAATCCAACAAATCCCTACCCATCTAGTGCTTAACACAGAATCTTTGTCACCAACAGATAACAGTTTTACCACATAAACTGTAACAATATCCTGCCTCTCATTGCTCAGGGGAGTGCCCAAAGGTATTTTCTTAAATGTATGGAATTCCTAGGAAGAGTTGAAGATACATAAAATAATTCCTTTCTTTGTGAGCTTGCAATTCAGTGGAGTGAAATAAGCATAAGTAAATTCCTTGGCACTATCTGAATTTCTGGTCATTTTTTTCTAGCTCCTATCTATCCCTAGGCATTAAGTATCTATGTATACTCTGTTCTCCTTTAGATAAACTGTTGCTGGGATATCAATTTCCCTCCCACTTGAGGTTAAATAGATTGGAACTGATTTACACATGGCTAAGAAAAGTGTTGGTCATGTGATTTCACTCCTAAAAACACCAAGTGATGCTCGCCATCTTCTCTATTACTCAGACTAGAGCACCATCTGTTCAGACATCAGAACATTTCAGATTAAATACTCCTGGGTGTTAACAAGGGACACTCCATTCTGGAATTGGCAATGCAGGGCCATCCATGGCCAGCTAGTGCTTTGTCGACCACACACCTAAACTGAGAATGCAGAAATCCTTGGGAACCAAGGGTCTCACCTGACACGATTCGCAGCACTCTCCTTTCACACAAGTGAATCCTGGCTTCAGGACACATCTATGTGCATCACAGCACGGATTAGTGCATTCCTGGCAAGATGAAAATGTAAACATCGCAAATGGCCTGGTATATGGCTCCCTTTTAATGGTCTAATTACTTGTGCCCCTTCAAGAGCTCCAAAGAAATGTGGGATCCTTGGCTTAGGCATGTGAATCAGATTACTGGTGCAGCCTGTATTGGGGGCTTCTACTTTGTTGCCTTCTCTCATGCTTCTTCAGTACTTCCCAGTTTATGAACTCTCATTGGTGGGAAGAGTCCAAAGACAGTGACCTTCCAGCCCCTGTTGTCTGACTCCCAAACCCCATTGCTTCTTGGTGCTGAAGTATGATGGGAGATACTACAATGTCTAAAGATCTGATCTTAC